TGTAATGGTAATTCAAGCTAGATTAGCCTCTGCATGTGCAGGTATTTTTGAGTGATGTGGTTTGTTGGGATATGTTTAGGAGCATGGGCTCTGGGAGCCAGACATTATGGCCTTAATCTCAGCTCTACCATTTAACATGGTGTGTCCAACAAAGTCACCTTCCATACATATGTGTGCTCTATAAAATGTTCATAGTAATAGTACTGATCTCCTAGCATTTTTGTTGGAACAAAATAAGTTAAAATATATGGACAATGCCTGGTACCAAGTACACGAGTATTTGACATTAGTGGCCAAGCCTCCCTAACGTGAAAATTCAATATCCAAAAAATTGAGCACCCAGATGATGTCATGAGAGAAAAATTCCACACCTGGCCTCATGTAATGATCATGGTAAAAACATGGTCACACACTTAAATTACTGTGAAAAACTACCTTCAACTATATGTATAAAGTATGCAGGAAAATAAGTAAATGAATTCTATAATGAACTTAGGTTCCCATCTCCAAGATATCTCATTATTATTTTTGTTATTATTCATTATTTTCACTACTGGGGATTGAACCTAGTTGGGATTTACCATGGAGCTTCATCCCCAGATCATTCTATATTTATTTATTTGCCAGTGTCTTGCAAAATTGCATAATCTGGCCTCAAACTTATATCCTGCAACCTTACCTTCTGAGTCTCTGGGTTTACAGGCATGCACCATCATAAACAGCTTATTATATTAATATTCCAAAATCAATATTCCAAGATACCTGAAATCTGAAACATCTTTAGTTCTATGTATTTCAGATGAAAGATACTCAGCCTGAATTATTACAATATACTCATGAAAATATTTCCTCACTGATGTGTTAAGCCAAGCAGCATTTTCATTTTGATGGTGGATTGCAGATAGGAGGCCAGGACATCTGAATTGGCCATTGTTTCCTTCCTCCTTTCAGAATTATTCTACTAAGCCTGAGGGCTGACATAAAATAGAGACACTGTTCCTGAATCTGCAGGTCAAGGTCATCCAGGTGCTTGGAGCAAAGGTAATAATATTGTTTGTAAATTTAATTTTCTAGGTTTGAATTTGAAAATAAAAATAAAAAAATCTGAGGCAGAGAGGAGTTGAAACTAGCAGGACTAATGGTCATGAGAGATGTGTCCATTGGAAAATCAGAATACATTCCAAGTGAGAAAACTACCTTAAAGGTCCATAATTTCCAAGAAATAAGGAGCTCTTCTGATACTGCACTCTCCCAGAGCTTAGAGACTGCTCCTGTTTTGGTTTCTCCTTCATAGCCAGCCTGCAGGTCTTCCCCCAAATCTGCTGGTTGTCTTGGATTTCACCACTTTTTACACATGGTGTTAGAGTGGTGGGTCTCAGCAGCAGGTGATTGTTTCCCTCAGTGGATATTGGCAATGTCTCCAGACTTTCTTGGTGGTGGCAACAGCAAGGTTGGTGTGCTAGAGGCTTCTGGTAAGTAGGGGCAAGAATGTGGTAATGGGGTCCGAATCCTATTATTCCCTCTCTCCAAAGAATGATCTTACCCAAGATACCAATAGCACCAAGACTAAGAAACACTGCTCTGGAGTGTGCTAATTAACTTTTTATAAGGAAGACAGGAATTCTGTGTTAAAGAGAAAGAGCCCTTCTAAGACTGAGTATCATCAGAGGAGAAATTGTGAGGCTGTTATTTGTAAATCCATTGACTTTTTTTTCCCTTTGTTTCTCATCAGTGGAGGTATGAATTTTCTTTTACATTTAAATTAGTTTTGATTCAATCTATTTGTCATACTACTGGTTGAACTTTGGAGCCCTTTATCACTGAACTGCACTCTCAATCTTTTTTGTTCTTTGTTTTAAGAAAATTGAGGCTGGCCTTGAACTTATGATTTCCTGACTCAGCTTTTATTTTATCACAGGAAGATTTTCTTACCCAGAAACACTTTCTTTTTCTTCAACTAAATATAGTATTTAAACTACAACGCTCTATTTTTTCTTTCCCATCTGTTAAACCCTTTTTATATTCACATTCTGAAACAACCCTTGTAAATTTCTGAATTTAGGCAAATTACTCCATTTTAATGAGAAGAAATACTTTATGTCATTTATAGAACTCTAATCAAAAATTAAACTATTGCATTAAATTACCTTCAACTATATGTATAAGTCATGGTCACAACACAGTCACTAATCAAAACACAGTTGAAACTTTTGAAACCCTTTGTATACAGAATCACATCTGTTTATCATTTAATGAAAACATAAACAATGTTTAAGTGTATAGAATTATACCTGTTGGGACTTTAAAATCTTAGTAACCTTATTTTCGAAGATAACAAAGCAATTTTATAATCTTTTTTTTTTAATTTGCCAATTTATGAAAACACCAACAATGTTACCCAATGAAATTCAAGGATTTGGGTACTTGATATTGTATTCAACAATTAGAATTTTAACTTGGTAAGTTATCCATATATCTAATAAGCAATTTATGAGTAATCCCATGTCAAATCCAATTTATTTATTTTTACTGTGAAAACCAAGGTATCAGACAGTGTATTGAACAATATTAGCCATCTCTCCCTTGTTGAAGAAAAGTCTAGAAATTATGAATATTAGAATTTTGTAGACACCAATATTTTATTAGTGTTTTTTCACTACCTAGAGAGACTTGTGAGTTAAGCAATTTTAAAGACATCTTTACTTTAAATTGAGCCTTCTTAAATCATGTGGATTAAAGATATTTGTATCTATTTTTTTTAATTTATGAGTACTCATTATATAGCAATTTTGAGCACTCGTTATATTCCAATTTTGCTATCATGTACATGATATATGGATGCATGCACACCTAGAAAGACAACACAATACACAGCATGCACACACAAAAGTAAAGGCTTTGTAGCTTTTCACAGATGAATCTCAATTGCAATGTTACAAATGTTTAACAAACCCATAGTTGAATAAAAAACAGGATTGAGCAGAAAAACACTATTCTAGATGTGTAGGATCAAAATCATGAACTGAAGAAATATGGAATTTAAGGAAAAAAAACAAGAAATCTAGAAAAAAATGACTGGCCAGTAACTAGTAAAGTATCATACAATTTATTTTTTGGTTCAGGCTAGTGTGAGTTCTGGTAAAAGTCACTTTTTCCTGGGATATTAGTCTGGTCTCCTACTGAGTCTGCCCTGACTGAGATCTGGAAGGAACTGGGGGAAAATGGCCTTCTGAGCAGAAATCTCATTCCAAAGTGTTTTAACCATTTTTTTCCTAGTTGGTAATTGGACAGGTTTGGATGATGACAATTATCATACCTTATTTTCTATTACATTTTTGAGAACAAAGCTACTATGTTAAGCTCTTTACTGAGATAAGCTGCTGACTATTGAGCAAGTCTATTCTTTTGTGTGACCATTCCTAGGACTATTCCTCCTCTCTCTCTGACAAATAAGTTAAATCTTTCTCTATAGGTAAGCTGAGGACACCAGCTCAAAACAAGGCCATGTTTTAATGTCTTAAAAGCTTTGAAAGCCTGCTCATAACCAAGAGGGGAGTAAACTGTTTGGTAACATGCTGTTCAGATATCCCAAAGAGGTCTTGGGTAAGAGGTAAGTATCCTCTTGGATATTAGTGAAAAGCTGGCACTAGTATCCAAGAGGAAATTGACTTCTTGGCTCCCCATATAGAAGCAGGAAAAGCATACTTGGGACTCACAGGTGGTGATTGGAGTTACAGAAGCCATCAGAATTGGCTTAGGGCTCTCTTAGGACTGTGTGGAGGAATTTGGCCTTTTCTTTTCCCATTTGGGAAGTTTTCTCCTCACAGTGAGGGGCAGGATGCATGGGAGAGTGTAGTTCCAGGGTTTGTGAGTAGATTGTTCTCTGAGATGCTGCTGAGATTCACAGCAGTGGCAGTGGAAGATCTGCTTAGCTTAGC